TTTTTGCTGAATTCTGGGTGAATTTTGAGTGAGTTTTTGCTATATTATGGGTGAATTTTGGCTGAACTTTGGGTGAATTTTGTCTGAATTTTGGGTAAATTTTGGCTGAATTTTTGCTAAATTCTGGGTGAATTCTGGGTGAATTTTGAGTGAATTTTTGCTAAATTCTGGGTGAATTTTGGCTGAATTCTGGGTGAATTTTGGGTGAATTTTGGGTGAATTTTTGCTGAATTTTGGGTGAATTTTTGCTGAATTTTTGCTAAATTCTGGGTGAATTTCGGGCGAATTTCGGGTCAATTTCCTCTAATTTTCCCCCGTTTTTTCCCGTTTTGCCAGGACTCGGCGGCTCTGAGCGCCCTGACCCGCCAGGACGGGGGTCCCTGGACCCCCTCCCCATTTCCCTGGCGCCGGGGGCCCCCGCTGCCCCCCAGCCCGGGGCTGCTGGTGCACTTCCACGGGGGGGGGTTCGTGGTGCAGAGCTGGGGGCCAAAATTCACCCAAATTCACCCCAAAAATTCACCCAAAATTCACATAAAATTCATCCAAAATTCAGCCATAATTCAGAAAAAAATCAGCAAAAATTCACCCAAAATTCACCCAAAATTCAGCAAAAAATTCACCCAAAATTGACACAAACCCTGAGTGGATTTGGGAGGATTTTGGGTGAATTCTGAGTAAATTTGGATGGATTTTAGGCAGATTTTGTGTGAATTTGGAATGAATTTCAGATGAATTTGGGATGAATTTCAGCTGAATTTGGGGTGGATTTGGGTTGAATTTTGCCAAATTTTGGATGAATTTTGCTGAATTTTATGCGAATTTGAGGTGAATTTTGGCTGAATTTTGGCTGAATTTTTGCTGAATTCTGGGTGAATTTTGAGTGAGTTTTTGCTATATTATGGGTGAATTTTGGCTGAACTTTGGGTGAATTTTGTCTGAATTTTGGGTAAATTTTGGCTGAATTTTTGCTAAATTCTGGGTGAATTCTGGGTGAATTTTGAGTGAATTTTTGCTAAATTCTGGGTGAATTTTGGCTGAATTTTTGCTGAATTTTGGCTGAATTTTGGCTGAATTTTTGCTAAATTCTGGGTGAATTTCAGGCGAATTTCAGGCGAATTTCGGGTCAATTTCCTCTAATTTTCCCCCGTTTTTTCCCGTTTTGCCAGGACTCGGCGGCTCTGAGCGCCCTGACCCGCCAGGACGGGGGTCCCTGGACCCCCTCCCCATTTCCCTGGCGCCGGGGGCCCCCGCTGCCCCCCAGCCCGGGGCTGCTGGTGCACTTCCACGGGGGGGGGTTCGTGGCGCAGACCTCGCGCTCCCACGAGCCCTATTTGAGGGGGTGGGCTCGGGACCTGGGGACCCCCATCCTGTCGGTGGATTACGCCCTGGCCCCCGAGGCGCCCTTCCCCCGAGCCCTGGAGGAATGCTTCTACGCTTACTGCTGGGCCCTGAGGCACTGCCGGATGCTGGGTGCGTGGTTTGGGGTGAATTCCGGGGATTTTGGGAAAATTCGGGGGGTTTTTAGGGGGTTTTTGGGGGATTTTAGGGGGTTTGGGGGGGTGAAATGGGGTGAAATTGGGATTTCAATGGATTTTTGGGAGGGTTTGTGTGCTTACTGCTGGGCCCTGAGGCACTGCAGGGTGCTGGGTGCGTCATTTGGGGTGAATTCGGGGGATTTTGGGAAAATTCGGGGGATTTCGGGTTATTTTAGGGGGTTTTGGGGGGATTTTGTGGGGTGAAATGGGGTTAAATTGGGATTAAAGTGGATTTTTGGGGGAATTTTGGGAATGTTTGTGTGCTTACTGCTGGGCACTGCAGGATGCTGGCTGGGTGCTCCCCCCGTCCCCAAATGTCCCCAAATGTCCCCGAATCCCATTTTTTCTCCATTTCTCCCCAATTTTCGCCGTGTCCCAAATTTTCCCCCAATTTTTTCTCTATGTTCTCAATGTCCCCAGCTGTCCCCAATCCCATTTTTTCCTATTTTCTCCCATTTTGTCTCAATGTCCCCAATGTCCCCAATATCCTTTCAATGTCCCCAATGTCCCCAAATCCCATTTCCCCCCATTTTTTCCCAATTCTCACCATTTTTCCTCAATGTCCCCAATGTCCCCAGTGTCCCCAATCCCTTCAATGTCCCCAATGTCCCCAAATCCCATTTCCCCCCATTTTTTCCCAATTCTCACCATTTTTTCTCCATGTCCCCAGTGCCCCAAACCCCTCAGTGTCCTCAAGCTCCTCAATGTCCCCAATGTCCCAAATCCCTCCAATGTCCCCAATGTCCCCAAATCCCATTTCCCCTAATTTTCCCCCAATTTTTGCCATTTTTTCTCCATGTCCCCAATGTCCCCATTGTCCCCAAGCTCTTCAATGTCCTCCATGTCTCCAATCCCCTCCCAATGTCCCCAATGTCCCCTCCCAATGTCCCCAACGTCCTCAATGTCCCCGATGTCCCCAAATCCCATTTTTTTCCATTCCCCCCAATTTCCGCCATTTTTTTCTCAATGTCCCCAATGTCCCAAATGTCCCCATTGTCCCCAAGCTCCTCAATGTCCCCAATGTCCCCAATCCCTCCAATGTCCCCAATGTCCCCAAATCCTATTTCTCCCAATTTCCCCCCAATTTTTCCCAATTTCCGCCATTTTTCCTCAATGTCCCCAATGTCCCCGATGTCCCCAACACCCTCTCGATGTCCCCAGGCTCGACGGCCGAGCGCGTCTGCGTGGCCGGTGACAGCGCCGGTGGCAACCTGTGCCTGGGCGTGTCCCTGCGGGCGGTGGCCCTGGGCGTCCGTGTCCCCCAGGCCGTGGTGGCCGCGTACCCGGTGACGCTGGTGCGGGCGGCGGCGTCGCCGTCGCGGCTGCTGACCCTGATGGACCCCCTGCTGCCCCTGGGGGTGCTGTGCCAGTGCCTGG